TGAAGTTCTGTGATCACTGATGACGCTCATCAAACATATTGAGGAGCTCAGTCTGAGTTTAAAAACAGTGTTTATGTCTCATCATGATGTGTTTTTACTCGTCCTTTGTAAAGTTATCATGGAGAAACTACATTTCTTAATGTAGTCACTGGCTCCATTATGATGAAGTATCTTAAGACAGTTTGTGATAAAAGAAAAGAAAAGTCAAACAACTTTGAAAAAAAGACAAAAAGACAAAAAGTGTATTTCTCATTGATTTAATGAACAGATTATCAGGAAACAATACACACACATATGAAGCAACAAGCTAATATTTATTCTTTAGAAACATGAAATAAAGAGAGAGAGAAAGGTGCACAGTGAGAGCAGTATCACAGTAAAACCAGCAGCAGAGTCCCAGTGAGTCATTACTGGGAACACTGGTCTCTACTCAGACTCTCTGAGACTGGAGCCTGGGCGCCCTGGGTGGCCTCACAGGTCACAGAGCCCACCTTCCTCCACTGGTCTGCAGAGAGCCTCAGGGTGCTGCTCCAGCTGTAGAGAGCGTCCTTCTCCAGCACCGCAGGGCTCCTGCTCTCCTCCCAGCTGCTGCTGCTGCTGCCGTCCACCTTCCAGGCCAGACTCCAGCCTGAGGGGAAGCCCTTGTTGGCCAGGCACATGAGCGTGGCCTTCCCCTGCTCCAGCTCCTCATTGGAGGGGGGCAGCACCGTCAGGGTGGGACGCACATCACCTATAGGAGACACCAATCAGATTAGAGGACAGGGAGCACACAGCTGTCAATCAAACACCACACCCTATAGGACACCTTTAATGTCTGAGAGCTGATTTTTCTTTTTTAGGAGTTTCTGTCAGATGTTTCTTTCTGCTCCACCGGTCACTCACTCACACATTGTTTCACTTCCCTTTAAGAAGCCTCTCATGCACATCAGCACACAGAGAGAGAATCACACAGAACGACCTGAAATATATTTAAACTACATCTGAATCCAATTTAAAACATTACAAACATTCCCCATCAAAATAATCCAAAAACTTTGCAACACATTATTAAAACAGTTTGTAGGTAAAACAAACTAAAACAGAATCAACTGAACACAATCAAATGTTCTTCAAATGAATTCTAATCAGAAAAATAAGGTATCAGAAAAATACCTTAAAGAGTTGTCAGAAAATGAATCTGAGGAAAACATTTAAAACACCTCTCTTTGTTAAACATCAACTTGTTTATGTTTCAGTGTGACAGAAATCAAACTGTCCTGAGTGAACCATCACGGTAAAGCAGGACCGATAAAAACATGATAAGAGTTCATTAGAGTTAGAGTTTAACAATGACAAATAAACAGAGAGACAGCTGCTGAACACAAACACATGAAGATATATATTAGACATACATATAAATAAAATCTGAATAAATCTACTTTGTAGTTTTGTCAGTGTTTGAATTGTAGTAGCACTGATTTGATATCTCTCTATGCTGATGATATCACGCTTTATTTAACAGATTTAAAATATTTCTTTGAGCTAAAACACATTCATTTAGATGTTTTCCTCTCTTTTCTTTTGATAAACATAAACCACTAGACAATTTAAAATCCTGGTCATTAACATTTTCAGTAAAAAAGCTGATTTGATGATTTTCATTCAGTTGTTTCAGTCATTAAGGCGTCCATATCGATTGTTAGAAAAACCTCATGAATAGAACATTATTTAGCAGCTGTCTTTGAGGTTGTCAAAGTGTGATTTATGTGGATCAAATATAAAAATCTGTATTTTAACATTAGGTTTAATATTCATACAGAAACTTACTTCCAACATCCAGTCTGGTTCCTCCACCAAAAGTCCACCACAGTGGTACAAAGTCATTGAGCGGCCGTACAAAAACCTCTCACTGTAGAGACACACGGCTCTCTGACTTTAACACACTGAACTCAAACTACCACAACTCCACATGTCACCTTACCATGAGAGTGAAAATCATCTATTTCCCAACAAATAAAAACTCTGGCTTCAAACATTTTACCTTCATTTAAATTCAGTCTGTGTTTCTGTTTTAAACTGAAATCCTTTAAAGTCAAATGTTGTCTTTATTCTTTCTAAAACAAACGATTGAAAAGTTAAAGGTCAGTATTTTCTTTTCCTCCAGGCTTGAATATGAAGACAAAAGACACCAGAATAACTTACTGATTGAATAAAAGCTGAATATGTGACTTACTTCCAATATCCAGTCTGGTTCCTCCACCGAACGTGAGCCACAGTGATACAAACTGATGGAGTCGTCGTACAAAAACCTCTCGCTGTAGAGACACACGGCTCTCTGACTCTGACACAAACACAGACACCTCAATGAGTCTCTGCCTGCAAGACCTCTGAGACCAAATGAAAACAGAATCTAAAAAGATTATAACAGATTAAAGAATGTCTTTCTTTGAGATATTTAAATCTTTGAATTATTTTTAAATCATTTTCTCAAGAATATTATTAATTACAACTCCTGATTTATATCAGGATAAATGTTTCTAGAAGCATGAACATGAAATCATATTAAAGTTGTTTTGAAAGTTTTCTAATGAATTGTATAATTAATTGATTGATTGATAAACAGAGTAATGAGAGTGATCCCTGTTGGAGTCAGTCAGAACATTTCCATAGAGAGCCACTTTGCATCAGCAGCACCATGCTCCAGTGCTCTGGGAGACTTTATAGTCCTGACAGTTGAACACTGGATGACTGACAGCTGTCCTTCATCACAACAGAAATCCTCGTCCTCATCATCAAAAACATGACTTTGATGTGCGTCCTCATCTGGACTCTCCTCCTCTGCTGCTGCTTCACAGGTAAAGTCCAGAGAATCAAACTCCTCTCCTCTATGAACATCCGTCCCTCTGAAATGAAGCCCACTAAACCCTGATGCTGCTTTCTGTTTTTGTCTCTGTATCCTCAGAGTCCAGAGGACAGGTCACAGTGACTCAGCCTGCAGCATGACCTCTGCTCTGGGAGCCTCCGTCTCCATCTCATGTAGAACCAGTCAGAATGTTTTTATAGCAGCCCATACCACTTCTTAGCCTGGTACCAACAGAAAGATGGAGGAACTCCTAAACTCCTCATTTACTTTGCTAGCACTCGAGCATCAGGGATTCCAGATCGTTTTTCAGGCAGTGGATCAAACTCTGCCTTCACTCTGACCATCAGTGGAGTCCAGACTGAAGATGCAGCAGTTTACTACTGTCAGAGTTTTCACTATATCAACAGTCAGGATGTGTTCACACAGTGAAAAAGCGTCGTACAAAAACCTCCCTCAGTCAGACTGAACAGAAACTGAACTGACTGCTGCAGCTGGAAGTTTCTGCAGAGACTGACACACTTCACTGAAGCAGCTCAGACATGATAAAGACCTTAAAAATCAATCAGCCCTCATATTTGTTTTGGATTATAAACCTCATTGTAAACGCACTTAAACAATACACACTCTTTACAAGCAGAGGATTATGGGTAATAAGATTTTTTTTTACATAACATTTTTTTATTGGTGATAAAGTGGACAAAAAACAAACCTACAAATATTTGCACATAGAAATAACAGCAAAAACAAAAACCAATAACCAAACTAACAACACTCATAAAACTGATTCAAGCCCTTCTTAGATGTGACACACTTAAGTATTGTTGGATTTATTTAAAAATATCTAGTTTGATAATATACACATATATATTTAATCAGTGAAACATAAAATGTATAACAATTTACCCTATGGGATGGATTTGATGACACAAAATAAATGAGTTGGAATGTGGAGCCGCCCTTTGCGCATGTGCGATACCATCTTCGCGGGCATAACTCATTAGCATAACGTCTTCTGGCTGGAGTGGACCATATCAGTGGGAAACCGTCTGCAGGTTGAAGTTCGGTCTTTGGTAAGGGAAACACTGCTATTGAACAGGTTTAAACACGCACAACAAATAGTTAGATAAATATTCTTGGTTCACCGTCCAGCTCTCAGGGGAAAGTAATCCGCTGGTCGGTATGAACGCAGAGAGACACCGCGGTGTCCGGGCAGACAACAGGCCACAATCTTCCCCGCTCACGCTCCTCACACCTATCTTAAGTAAAATAATAAGTGAGGGCAAGTTCATTCGCCTCACAATTCTTTTGCCTTTCTCAATTGCAGTTTTGCGACTGCTATGTTCATGTCTGGACTATTATGCTAGCTAGTGGCCATGTTAAGTGTTACCAAGCTAGTCTGCAAACTCGGACTTTCAAAGTAAAGTTCGCCCTCATCAACATTGCACGAATTTTGGTAAACAGCACTGAATACACCAGCGGTACAGTCTAAAGTACTACAGCTCAAAAAAATGAATACTTACCAATATACAGTGGGTACGAAAGTATTCATACCCCTTTACATTTTTCACTCTTTGTTTCATTGCAGCCATTTGCTAAAATCAAAAAAGTTCATTTTATTTCTCATTAATGTACACTCAGCACCCCATCTTGACAGAACAAAAACAGAAATGTAGAAATTTTTGCAAATTTATTAAAAAAGAAAAACTGAAATATCACATGGTCATAAGTATTCAGACCCTTTGCTGTGACATTCATATTTAACTCTCCTTCAGTAAAGCTGTCGGTTAAGCAGTAAATGTACATTCTAGGTTACAGATTGTCAGTGAATACATGCAGGAAGGTTAATGTTGTTCCTGTGTGTTTGATATTTTAATAAAATGGCAGAATTTAGTATAATTTCATGACTTGATCTTAGTTATTGAAGCTTATTTGTTTGTAAAATAATTGCTAGTCCATTCTAAATGTTCAAATTTTATCTCTTTTCATTGGTCAGAGCTCTAATTCAATTTCGACTTGTCTGCATTTCTGGGTATTCTGGTACTTGCACTCACAACTTAATGTGTTGTCATCTTTTGCAGTTTGATCAACTTTTCCAAGCTTCTTGTGGCAGCCTCCTAATGATCAGCGTTACCAAGCTCTTTGTGGCAGCCTCCTAGTGTTACGGCCAGCTCGTGTAGGCCCTAACATTCAAAATGGAGGTCCACACAGTCAACTTGCTTAGGTTTTAGTTTATTTCAGAACCACCAAAAAAATGCAAGAGCAGAGGGAGATAAGTCCAATCTGACCCGAGGAACCCCCTGAAAGCTCTGGCAGCCCGGTTGTATGCCCTTCCACCCAGGTGAAGCCCATCCGCAATCAGCAGGCAGGTGGGCGAGTCTCCCCACGACCAGCTGGCGAGTCTCCCCACGACCAGCTGGCATGCCACCGCCAACCACCAGATGACGCCAAACCCTGAAATACAAAACACAAGCAGTACCAGGCCAAACACCATGGCCAGGGCCGTCACACCTCCCCCCATAAAGAACGTACACTTGGGTGTACGTACACATTAAACTACTTCCCGAGAAAGAGCATCTGCCATTACATTATCCCTACGCTTGAGGTGACAGATATTAAAGTTGTAGGGCTGTAAAAACAACAACCAGCGCCTCAACCTTTGATTGCTGTTTTGCATGCTGGACAGAAAGGTCAGATGGTTTTGGTCAGTGAATACAGTAACTGGTGCAGACCCCAAAGTTACATACACTTCAAAAAATTTTAGAGCCCAAGTAAGTGCCAACGTCTCCTTCTCCACAACTGAATAATTGAACTGATGACGTTTGAACTTACGGGAGAAGAAGCAGACTGGATGATCAATAGCCCCCTTCCCTTGCAACAGTACAGCTCCTGCACCAACTCCACTTGCGTCCACCTGAAGTTTAAAGGGCTTCTCAAAGTTTGGCGCTGCAAGCATAGGAGAACAACAGAGCAAGGATTTCACCGTAACAAAAGCATCCTCAAATTTAGGAGACCACACAAAAACCGTCCTCTTACTCAAAAGGTCTGTCAATGGGGCCACCACAGTCGCAAAATTTGGGCAAAACCCCAATAATACCCCACCATATCCAAAAACCTCCCCAACTCTTTGAAGTTGATTGTCCGAGTCACAGCACAAACAGGAAAAATCATTGGATGTTGTTTAGCACACTCATCCGGACCTTGAGAGCACTCGGGTGATGCTGTTACCCCAACAGAAGGTGGATCATCTTTCCACACTCTTGCCCCCGCCAAGTCATTACCCAATATAACATCCACACCCTCCAATGGCAATGAGTTCCGTACCCCCATGACCACTTCCCCTTTTACCAGATCTGAACACAGGCTAAGACGATGCAATGACACAAACAAAGGAACCAAAGAAATTCCCCGAACGGGAGTCGTCTCCCTAGTGTCTGTAGCAGAAGAAAACGGCAACACACGTTCCAAAATGAAACTCTGGGACGCCCCTGAATCCCTCAAAATACTTACAGGTTTCATCTCACCATCATTCAGAGACACAAACCCATGTGACATGAAAGGGGCATACATTTCATCAACCCCCTTTGATGGCAGTTCAGGAGATGTTCCTGGCACCATTAGACTCTGCACTGATGACAGTGAAGCCACCAGACCAGCAGATTTCATATACACACTTGGATCGGTTGACTTTTGTTCCGACATGGAAATTGGACACTCCCCTTTCCAATGACCCTTATTTTTACATGAATGGCACAGTTTACCTGGATCAAATCTACCATCCGTACCTGGTACACTTCTGAAACTGGCCTGAGAACCCTGAGTAGCCCCAACAAACTTTCCTGGACTAAACTTCACATTGTCCTTTACGCCCCAGCGCCATTCTGAGCCACCAGCATGAGTCAACACATACTCATCTGCCAACACTGCAGCTGCTGAAGCTGTCTTAACCTTACGCTCATTGATGTGTACAGCAATGTGGTGTGGAACAGAGTCCTTAAATTGTTCCAATACCATAAGGTTACACAAATCATCATAATGATCTACCTCCGAGGCAGGACACCAGCGTGCAAAGTGAGCTGAAATATCCCGTGCAAACTCTACGTGAGTCTGTACATCACCTTTCCTCCAGCTTCTAAATCTTTGCCTATATGCCTCAGGAACCAACTCATAGGCTTTCAAAACAGCAGCATGACAAAACATTCAAATGACATATATCTGAGTAAACATTGTATCTCCAGACCTGTCCTCATGACACAACACAGGAGCAAAATAAACAAATATCAAACTTCAACCAGAGAAAGTCCAATTTTGTATCAGAAAGACACAGCAACAACTATTGTAAAATAGTTCAGAAACACAGTAACTTTTAAGAATAGTTGACAACTTAATACACAGATATACTAAAGAAATGCCAACTTCAGCAAAATGACAAAAGGTTTACCCTATAGTTCTGTACATCAACACTAGAAAAACCCAGGCATTTCCAACAGAAACCCATTACAACTTTGAGTTCAACGGGCATTTTTTCAACTGTGTTACCCTCAAGCACAACGGCAACCTTCTCGGGCAGAATACCGCAGCATCTGTTGAAGTGGCACTGATCAGGAGGAGCCCAACTGGTATGTTGTCGATTTGCAGTTCATCTGACAGGGCCTGCTAAAGACAAGGACAGAGAAATGTTACAAATCAACTGCCTAAGCTTCAGTGTTTCCCATAGAATGACAATGTACCAAAAGCTGTTTATGTTTCTTGATCAGCGGAAAAATATGGAAAGTACACTACCCTATTGCTATTCAGGGATTTCTTAATTCACCACTTTAAATGTAGTAATTATCCCCTTTTTTGTTTTTTGGCCTCAAAACAATCAAAGCTAAATGGTACTGAAAGACAATGACTCAACTGACAAGCTTTTTTAAACAATCACTATATTGCATTTATTCTCACTATAGATGTTGATATTGTTTAGCATACTATTCCAGCTCTGCAGGTTTTAAATGGAATTTTAAAAACTGCAGCATGAATTGAGGTTTGACCAGTAAATGCAAAGTTTAATTACTAATTCCTCACAGGTAAGATTAAGCCTACTGTAGATGTTGCAGGACAATTATTACTATATTAATCTTTTTCACTTTTAATATCATGGCAATCATACACCAAAATGACAGCATCTGAATAAAACAGATGAAATATATAACATGTTCAACAGATTCATTACAAGTCTTAATAATATGCTGACTTACATCCCACAGCTTCAGAAATCCGGAGTCATCCTCATGCAGATATGTAGGGAGAGCACGGAGGACGGCAGCACGGAGGACATTGACGTCAACTTGTTCCTTAAGTATGAGAAAACACATCATCTTAATTTGAAATGCCAAACAGGGAAGGAACAGAATTTATCACAAGAAATAGCCCTATATGATGTATTTGAATACGATTAGGTAATGCCTACCAAACTGTCAAATGACAATATCAAAAGCGGAACACTTGATGACATTTATTGTTTCTATTGTTGGTCGTGTTTTTTCCAAACAGTCTTTCACGATAGAAGACTGTCAGCTATCAACGATGGCATCATCATTTGGCCCTAATGTAATCTGAAGATAGGGAGTTCCAACAGGGTTCTATTATTATCATGCATGAAGAAGGATAATCAACTCACCTGGCGGTCATAAGTGTTGAAGAGCTGATCCAGGACTTCAGACACCTTCCCTGTGCGCGCAGCTTTCTTCCTGAACAAACTCTGAAGACGAGGGACATGTCTGTCTAACTCAGAATAGAAGTGGTTCTTCAGGTTGATGTTTGTGATTCTGTGAAACTCTGCACAAATCTGTAAAATAAAAATGTGACATTGAAGTGCATTTGTATCTCAAAAGAAAAAGGAAAATGAAGTTGTAAAACATTACATTACAAAACGTGTTTAAACATTATGTACTGTCGCATTATAAATGTCAAAACTTTACATTTGTTAAATGCTTGTCAGACTAAGTGACTGATGTTGAGATCCCTACACTTCCCTATCACATACAAAGAAAAAAAAACTCACCTGTGACTCCATCTTTAGGGCAGGCCAGCGCTCCAGGATCTCTCCAACAGGCAAGTCATCATTGATGACCTCTTTGCGTCGCAGGGAAAAGGTGGTCTGCATCAACTTTGCAATCAGAGGGAGGTTTTTGTCAGTCCTTATAACTTCATCTACAATCTGGAGTCTCTGTCGCTCAAGGCTTGAACCATCTTCTCCTTTTGGAAAGTTGGGGAGAAAATTCACTTCTGCCCTTTTTGGTCTCTTTATGTCAGTGTGGGGAGATTGTTTGTCAGGGTTGTTTCTGCTTCTCTTTCCAGAATTTACAGCTACCTCACTATATCCTGCCCGACTCAACTTAGTGCAGAAGTTACCCATCTTAAACTTCAGACTATTTTTCCAACCATACCATCCTGTCTGCGTTCCTGGTTCTTTAAGACAAGGATGGGTGGTGACAAGCGCTTCTGCAACCACTGAAATGTCTTTATCACTGGGATATGCTTTAAAGCTATGCATTTTGGATGCAAGGGTTTCAAGAATGTCATGCTTCTGTCCCCTTGATAACTTCAGGGTTTTCCCTGTTCTCTCATGATTCAAATTTCCCTCAACAAGTATGAGTTCTACTTCATAAGAAAAGCTGGCACTGGACAAACATCCGGCCATCTCTGGGTCCTTTCTGGAGTCATTGCATGAGGCAATATTATTGTGTCATCAGATGCAATTGAACTGGCATCACTCTGAGATCTTACAAGTTTAAGTACTGCCTTCTGTGGAAGCTCTTCAATGTCTATAAGGGAACATAACTGCCCGTCAAAGTCTGGATCTTCATATGATTAGCAAAAATCAAAGTCTATCTTAAACTTTTCTTTTGTCATTTTTTCAAGCTCAGTCACAGATTCTGGACTGAAGCCAAAGTCATCTTCCTGACAATGTCCATGGAAGTATGTATGTGAAGATTACCTATTAAAACAAAGAGAGGGGAGAACGATTAACTAATAGCATTCAACAATGCATACACAATAGGTATTTGTGTGAAACAGTTATAGACAGATATTATTCACCTAAAAGCTGGGGTTTGAAAAACATTACAGTTGTAGCAGGTAAGTCTTTCTAGGCTTGTAATGTTAGTAAACGTAACTGGCATATCAAATTTTAGTTTACCTGTCTTACTTTGCTACACACTGTTCCATGAGGCCATATGGTTCTTCACTTCTGATAACATTTTACACCTGGATTTCTCTGATCAAAATAAATCTTTTTTGTGTCAGTATTAAGTGTCCATCTATGTTGTATGCAGACAAACTTACTGTGTCATTTAGTTCTGACAGCTCGATGACAGAGCAGGTGTCTGAGGATGTCAGCTCAAATCACCTCAAATGCTCTCTGTACCAGCTCTCGTAGTTTCTGCAAAGAAAAGAAACAGAGTTATTCACAAGCAGTGTTTGGTCAGTCTCCAGCCTGGCCTGCAGAAACATACATACCATTAGCATACTCTGTGCCATCAATGGACACCTGTGTTGTACTGTATATGTTTTGGCTGTCTGTCTTTGTTCTTATAAAGTCTTTTGCCACTTGAGGCAGTGTGGCAACGTGGACAGAGGTGACACTCGAAGATTGTGTGTGGGGTTTGAAAAATAATGTGCACTTCAGTGATACGCCATCATGTGCTGATGCCTAGTGGCAAGAGTTCTCAAGACAGTCTTGAAATTGTGTGTGTCCTGTATCACTCTTTTAAAAAAGCGATGTTTTCCCTCGAACCTCATTGTCCAAAGGTGAACAAGAGGCCCAAAGCGCCTTGTCATTTCTGGGTAGTGCTCAACATAATGATGCTTGGGTCTGAGCTTAAAGTCTGGAAACACTGCTTGAAGTCCCTGTCGATGATCACTGATTTTAGTCTGCATGTACTGTAAAGACTCCTCTGTGAAAGATGGAGACAACACCAGCTGCACTATTTCTTTGAGGTCCAACAATATGGCCCATGTTTCATCTCCTTCAGGGACTTTACTTCCTACCAGTAGTGGTAATAACCTAAGCAAAGTGGAATTTTCATGCCCGTTTGGCAGCAAAATTCTTTGGAATTTGTTGCGGTTTATCAAGCCTATCAGTGTGCTGATCTGGAAATGTGTGAATTCTTGTGTTTAGATATTCAAGTGTGAAATACTTCAGGCAAATCATCTCACGGATGCACAAGGCCATCTCAACTGGCACGACACCCTCAAAGAGGTCGTGAAGAATATCAGGTGGAAAACCAGTGATGGGATGAAAATGCTGCAATGCCATGCTGAGAGCACACTGACCTTTAACACCTAAGTGATTTGCTTTGTCTTCTTCCACAACATTCTGCACATGAAGATCATGGGAGGCCCTTGTTCTCATGCTAAACTCCCCTTCAGAAACGTCAGTGCACTGTTTCTGGTCTGCAGTACAGCAACAAAATCAGGGACAGTTTCAGCTCCCCTGTTTCAGACAATAACTGATTTTCTTTGAAATATGTTCCATCTTCATGAGACATGTAAATTCCTGGTGGAGACGGTTTTGCCTCGTGAATTTTTTCAAGAAGATCAGTAGTTTTAAACATTGTTTGAATCATCTGAAGAATGGGAACATACACTGCTGTGTGTTCACTGGAATCAAAAGTGTATTGCACTGGCATTACCAAAGGATAGTTACTCCTCACAAATGTTTCCCTCCGCTTAGCAGTGGACAGTTCCGCACCTTCTGAAGTAGCATTGACAAAAACATTAGTTTTCATGATAGCCTCCTCTAGGTCATGAAGAAGGGCCCCACTGACAGACAGATCATGCTCTTGTAAACTATTGACAACAGCTTCTCTCACAACAGGTTTGGACAAAGTGAATATTTGTGCCAAATTTTCAATGATGTCCTGTGTAGCTGTCTCTGACACATGAAGAACACTGTTCATTTTCAAGAAGAAAGAAGCCAAATTATTTTTGAAGTGCCCTTCCAAGTCATCAGTGTCATCTCTGGATCCAGAGGGCTCACACTCAGGAGTATCCAGCTCAGGAGAGTGTGGTAAAGGGCTATCCCTATCAGATTCATCCTGACTCTGCATTGGTTGACTTTCAGTTTCTGTACAGACAATCTCATTCTTATAATTTGAAACATCACTGTCTGGATGAGTCCTACTTTTGTGGGCATTAAAGGAGGAGTAGACATTAGTGCGGTCTTGACAGTTTTTGAAAGGACAGTCCACCATTTCATGGTGTTTTAAATGTGCCCTTAAATGACTGAGGAGACTCTTATCATTAAATGGTTGCTTGAATCCACAAAGGACATGTGAATGACAAACATCCCACCTCGTTTTCACTGGGTACAACTGTATTATTATGCAACCTTGTTAAATGAATTTTGAATGCATTTATTGACTGAAATGTGCAGATACAGTCATCAAAGAGACAAGGCAATGGGTTGATTGAGGATAAATTGCTGTGATGCAAACGACAGTGTTCAAGCAACTGTGCCCTTTTGTCACACACAGCAGGACAAAGTTTGCATTGCCAAGCCATTGTAAAACTAAACGGTGTCGAATCAGCAAGTTTGACATACAAAGCATAGAATGATGAAACAGTGAACAGGTTTTAGATAAACTTCCCTTATCTGCATCACATCGGATTTCTCTTTACAGTGATTGTGCACAAGAAATGTCTATTAAAAGTCTGTGCTTTGAATATACATACCTGATTGAAGACTCCGGATATCACCAAGTTGCTTGTATTTAAGCCTTAAGACAAAGAAAATAGAAAAATGAGCTAAACTGTACATTTTAGCAGAAATGTTTCTTTACAGTTAATTTACAGTTGAGGAGCAACAGAAACACCGCGCACAATGCGGTTATTTTCCACACCAGGCTTTATTTTTGATAGTTTACCTACCTATCAAAAATGTCTAACAAATGATAGCACTAAATAAACTACTACAAGACCTCTTTTAAAAACGTTAACGGTTGTCTGTACAGAAACATGCATGTGGAGGTCGAGAAACAAAAGCAGTCCAGTAACATTTCCAGACAAATTTTAAAGCAAGACTTAGTTTATACTTGAAAAGTTAAAGAAAGTTAAAGAAAGAAGTTAAGCCAGTTATATTTTTCAAATGTTTTCACATTAAATAGTGCAAACTGCATTAATTAAATAGGCTAACTTTGCCACAAAAGTACAACAGAAAACACGTATTCACTCTTCATACTAAATGCATGAAATAGCTGCGGACATGAGAACTATTTCATTAAATGAAGAAACGATATCAAAATGTGATAAAATAAGTTATTACTCACCAGATTAGCTCAAAGATAGCACCAATGCTACGGCAGTCAGCGCATTCAGCAGAGTAGAGACAGAAAACTCCTGCATGTCCGAACAAAAGTCCCTTCAAAAGTCTGCGATTTGCTCCACAAATAACAATATCTATTGTCTGTGTCCAAATTGTTCTCAACTTGTAAAGTTCACTCCGCTTAGCTGGCTCATTCTTAGCGACTCGATGCGAGAGCAAACATGGCGGTGAGAGCACGTACGCACGTGACCGTGACGTCATGCAGAGCAGATCAAACAATTTGAGAACAATTATGAAAAATAATCAAATTGGTTGAGCTCTGTTTACTTCAAACTAAAAACGCGTTCTAATAACTTAGAAAAATAGAGTTGAAATAACTATTTTGAATTTCCGAGTTCACACAACCCAATTTTTTTAACATGCTTTTACTGTTTGGTCTTACAGTGTAGTCCTGTTCCTTAATTGATTGTGGTAGGAAGGAAAAGGGTTGTTTTTTTGAAACAACGATTAACTTCAATTCATTTGTAGTTTGACTTTTATCCCCCAGTTACGGCTGCAACCTTCCTGGTGTTACAGTCTGAGTGAGTGTCACGCCAGCTGCACACAAGTTGATGATTTTTCAGTGAAATTCATTGTCCTGGTCTTGTCTCCTTCTTGTCCTGGTCTTGTCTCCTTCTTGTCCTGGTCTTGTCTCCTTCTTGTCCTGGTCTTGTCTCCTTCTGTCTGTCTGTCTCCTTCTTGTCCTGGTCTTGTCTCCTTCTTGTCCTGGTCTTGTCTCCTTCTTGTCCTGTCTTGTCTTTCTTGTCCTGCTTGTCTTGTCTTATCTTGGTCTCTGAGCACTCTGGTCTCAGCTAGTCATGCTGGCTATCATGGGTTTTGTTCATTATTACCGACTATTGTAGAGAGAATAAAGCACAAAACAAGTTTACTGTCATTTGGGAATTTATATAAATATTTATATAAATGATGAAAAATGATATCGTTTGAAGTTCTGTGATCACTGATGACGCTCATCAAACATATTGAGGAGCTCAGTCTGAGTTTAAATGTCTCATCATGATGTGTTTTTACTCGTCCTTTGTAAAGTTATCATGGAGAAACTACATTTCTTAATGTAGTCACTGGCTCCATTATGATGAAGTATCTTAAGACAGTTTGTGATAAAAGAAAAGAAAAGTCGTTTTAACAACTTTGAAAAAAAGACAAAAAGACAAAAAGTGTATTTCTCATTGATTTAATGAACAGATTATCAGGAAACAATACACACACATATGAAGCAACAAGCTAATATTTATTCTTTAGAAACATGAAATAAAGAGAGAGAGAAAGGTGCACAGTGAGAG